GAGGTCCCTCGGGCTGCCGTGGGCTCGCCAAGGAGGTCAACCAAGGACCCTGAGCCCTGCAGCCAGCGGGGCGGGGAGTAGAGGAGATCAGCACAGAAACAAGTTAAACCCTCACCATGACCGGAATCCTGGCCCAGACCTGAGGGGGAGGGCTTCCTGTAGGAGGCACACTTCCTGGGGCAGGGAATCTGGCAAAGGCAAGGAGGTGAGCAGAGAAAGCAGAAGAGGCAGAGAGGCTGGCAGGGCTGGGGGCTGGGCAGTGAGCAACTTGGAAAGCGCTTGAGGACGGATGCCCGGGGGCATCAAGGAGGAAGGCGGGGTGGGGGACACAGGGACACAGCTGGAGCGTCCCTGCAGCCACACAGAGAGGCGGGTGTTTCCCACTAACTCCCTGAAGGGCAGAAACTCACCAGTGTCCCCCGACACCAACCGGGAAGGAAATGGCCCTGAGGAGGAGGCCGGAGCTGGGAGAGCTGTGGGTCCCAGAACCAGGGGAGGGTGCTGAGAGGAGGAACTGAGAGGTCCCAAGCAAAGTGGCCTGTCGGGGCAGCGCCCCGGGATGCCGTCTCCGCCTTAGTCTTCTGCTGGCAGGTGGACACAGTGGGCATTTCCATAAAGGGCCAGAGCACGGGTGTCTACGGCTCTGCGGGCCTCTCCCCACCGCACACTCTCTCTCTCAACCCCTTTAAAAGTGTGGACACCGGCCTTAGGTCAAGGGCCAAACCAGAACAGGCGTGGACAGGGTTTGACCCACAGGCTGTGGTTTGCCCACCCAGGGCCAGGACACACTGGAGTCGGGTGCCCAGCTGGAGCCTAAGCGGGGAGGGGCCCCCTGCGGTTCCTCTTGTTGGAGCCCCTGTCTGGGCGGCTCAGAGGGCAGGTGGCTCAGGGGGCCCTCACAGGGGCTGAGCTCCTCCTAGGAAGCCGCCATCACAAGTGGCTGCGGCGCCTTGACCTTGACACTGGAGCTCCCGGCCTCTGACTCTCATGCTGGCCTCGGCTTGAGAGGCCTGGGTCTTTCTGACAGCACAGTCTTCATGGGGAGTCACAAGAGCCCAGAGCAGGGTGGGGTCACCCAGGAGAAGGCCTCAGCTTGCAGACAGAATGTTCTGGGGGGCCAGGAGAGCGCTGTGCCTCACTGGGTCCAAACAGGACACTCTGCCAGGCCGGCCTCTCTCTGCCTTCCTGCTGTCCTGGTGGCCTCCCCGACCAAGCACTCATCTGTGCCCCTGACCCAGGCTCCTTGCTGTGACGGCCCTACTTGGACACGGGTCTGGACCCGGCCTGCAGAGGGAAGCTAGGCATCTGGCAGGTCCAGAGTCAGCTCCAGTTTTCAAGTTTCCCCAAAAATGTAATGTTTTAAATTTCAATTTGTTAGTAATTTTTTAATTTGTAAAGGTCACTAACCATCGGCTTTTTCACAAGGAACTAGGAATGCTCAGCTGTTGGGGGCCTGGGGGCTCCTCCCCAGAGCAGACTGGCTCCTGAGCCAGGGGGCTGTCCCCCTCGCCCCCACGCAGCTCGGTGGCCTCCAGCCTTGGGTGCTGGGTCCTCAGACCCTGGCAACTGCATGTGGTTGTAAAAGAGCCACACCTCTGAGCTCTTAAAAGGAAAAACACTCCAAGCACTGCCCAGCTCCCACCACCAAGACTAAATCACACTGGTGTGAATAAAGCGCCTCCCTGAGTGCCGGGTGCTCAGGGGCGGAGGTCTCCCTCCCCTCTCATCCATGTGCACCTTTCCGGTGCGGCTCGGGGTCGGGTCCTGCGCTATGAATGCTTGCGGCCGAGGCATGCGTGCCCCTCACCTGAGTGACAAAGCCCTTGCACGACAAAAGCTGTTAAACTGCAGGAGGCACTTGGGCATTTTTCTAACTAAGCCCCTCCCTGACTGGGTCACTGACGCCTGTCCTGATGGTCATGTTCACACTGCAGATAAACCCGAGGAGATAGTCCCAGCCCCTAAGCCATCGCGAACCGCTGAGAGTGTGGCCGTGGAGTCCAGGGTGGCCACCATCAAGCAGCGGCCCACGAGCCGGTGCTTCCCGCCTGTCTCTGACATGAACGTGAGTGGCTGGGGCCAGGGGAGTGGGCGGCAGGTGGGCAGGGGTGGAGATGGCCGTCCCCGTGGCTACAGTTCACACCCTCCCCGTGCGGTCCAGACCCGGAGCCCTGGTCCCAGAGGCACCAGCGGGAGACAGAGCGGGCTGGAGCCCGGGTCTGGCACTCGCTCACCCTGTCACTTCCGCTCAGTCCCTCGACCCGGAGGGTCTTCCTGCAGCCCACCTCTGACTCCTGAGGCGGCGAGGCCTCCGCAAACAGCCGGTGCCTGCGGAGAGCCGCTGCCCAGGCCGTGCCCCCCATCCCTACGTGGTGAGCAGAGACCCCAGGCCATCAAGGGCTGGCAGAGCCGCCCAGTCCCTGTGTCAGCTGCTCCTCAGTTTTCCAGAGGCAGCTGCCTGCACCCCAGCTTTGTACCTCATGTGGACCTGAGCACACCTATTACCATTACTGACTTAGTGTGTTTTCTGAAGCCACTTCACACTGACTGTTTAACCTCACCTTTTCTTAAACAATAACCCCCATAAGTACCATCAATTTGACATGACAGTTTTTTAAACATGTGTTAAAACAAACACAGCTGCTGATGATAACAATTAGAGCGTTCACCCTGCCCCTCCTCCTCATCTCCGGAACTCCTGGGGCGGCTTCCCTCCCCCGGTCCCTGCCCCTCACTGCGCCCTGTGCCCTCCTTGTCCCAGACGCCTTGTCCCCAAGCCCAGCACCAGGCTGCAGAGCAAAAAGCCAGGCCCGGTGAGACTGGGCCACATAGGAACAGCCTGAGGCGTGCGCACCAGACCCCTAAAACGTGCACACGTCTCCTCTGGGCTGCACAGCCGACATTGCTCCCAAGTCACCGTTCAGTGTGGGGGGTGGGGCGGCCAGCAATCTCCGTTTTCCAGTCAAGGAAGCAGCAGGGGCCGCACAGGGCATCTATTTCACCACCAGAGGAGGTGGGCGCTGGGCTCCTTCTGGACCAGGCAGAGGAGGCAGGGCTGGGACAGCCCGCCTGGGCTGCTGCCGTCAGCCCACTGTGTGGAGGAGGACGTGGCCAAGGGCGGACCCCACTCCCACCAGCGGGTACTCTCTCCTAGGACACCTCATTCTCAGTCGGTCAAGTCAGGCGGGCCACGGCTCCAGCGGGCAGGGCTTACGGGCATTTGGAGGGCGGGGAGGGCCCTTTTTGGTGTGCTCTGTCGTCAGCCTCCGCTGGACAGTTCAGCGCCCCCTGCCTGGGGTTCCCGTGTCTGGCCCAGCACATCTCACCTGGCCCCCTGGTTTGCAGTCCGTGTACGAGCGCCAGGGGATCGCTGTGATGACGCCCACTGTTCCTGGGAGCCCGAAAGGCCCGTTTCTGGGCCTCCCTCGAGGTACGATGCGAAGGCAGAAATCAATAGGTAAGCAGCATGGCCACACCCACGAAGGTGCCCCCTGGCTCTCAGCACCCCGGCAGTGCCCCCTGAGCAGCCCCCAGGCCTGCCCACCAGAGGGCGGGCACTCAACCTCACCCCCGGGAGCCCTTGGAACCCTGAGCCATCTGAAACTTTTCTATCCTCTGGATACCGACCTGGGGTGGCTTCCCCAGCCTCGCAATCCCAGTACCTGTGACAGTCCCAGCAGGGGGAGGGGCCGCATGGCAGGAGGGAGGCAAAGGTGGGCAGGCGAGGTCCCGAAGCCCCCAGCCCCCCCATGCGCGTCAGAGTGGGCCGGCAGCGTGGGCCCCTGTCCTGTGTTCCCTGCCGCCCTATGGTGACGGCCACTGCCAGGCTTTGCCGATGAGCTCAGCGGGCACACTTGTGAGGGTGGCGGGTCAGGTCCCTGAATTCTAAGAATACAACGTGTTGTGTGTTGTGGAAACTGCCGCCTTCCTGTTAAGGCCACCAGGACTTCCACTGACTGTCCGGGCAAGGTAATGTGACCCTTCAGACAGTCCCTCTGTGAGGTCACCCGGCACTGTCTGTACCGTGTAAATTCTCCAGGAAGCGAAGGCCACCGCCGGACAGTTGTGGCCCCTTGTTAAAGAGGACAGTGTGTGCGGCAGCCACCCCGGGACACTGCTCTGTGTCCGGGAAAGGCCCCCAGCACCGCGGCCTGAGATGTGGTGTCTCTGTCACTAGTCCGAGGTGGACTGCAGCAGGCAGGAGCTAAGCCATGAGGGATGGTGGAGGTGGTATCTGCCGTCCCTCAGAGTCACCCCCCGGAGCTCAGGGCCACTGCAGAGCAGCGCACGCGCCGCGCCGCGTCACTGGCTCTGTGCCTGGGTAATAACACCTGATTTCCTCCTGTCAGACAGCAGAATCTTTCTATCAGGTTAGTAGACCTTACAGCTTGGAATCTGTAATATGAATGTAACCCAGTTTACTGTATAAGGTGTATTCTTAAATTATTACTCCTTGGGAACTAATCGTCAGGCAACCACCACGTACAAATGGTCCACAAGGAAGGCCTTTTAGCAACCATCTTTGAGATGCCAAAATGTCTTCCCACAAGGAGTATGTGAAATTTGGAATACCCTTATCGAACGAACTTTTCATCGGGATAAATTATTGTAGTTTGTCCCAGGAGTTTTTTTGATTTCAAGTAACTCACTTTGTAACCTCTTTGGAAGACCTGCATGCCCCCAACGTGAGGCGTCTGTCCGTGTCTGTGTGTTTCGCCTCTTGTCTCCCAGAGTGCCTTCTGTTGATGTTTTTATGTATCAGACTGTCTCGAGGAGAGTCTGAGGTCCTACCCAGTCCACACACGCAGGGCTCTCGGCCCTATGAGGCAGGGTGCCACCATCACCATCGCAGGCACATACTGTGCACTCACACCCAACACCCATGCGCTCCGTTAGGTCAAGTCACCCAACATGGACCCTGGTCAATCGTGATTGCGGGAAACTGCTACGCCCCTTGTCCCAGCCCAGAGGGTCTTAAGGTAAGACCCAGAAGGGGCTCACTGGGGCCAGCGGCCAAGTGTCTGCTCAGGATCCTGCTGCTGGCTTGGGCTGGTGTCTTGGGTTAGAGGGTCCAGGCTCCCTTCCCTCGGGCCTGTTGCAGGTCAGAGCAGCCTGCTCCTGCCGGCTGCCTCTCAGCCATCCTCCTAAGGGCCCGGGGAGCGTCAGACCCTCAGGTGGCCCAGAGACGTCGGGCAACAACAAAAAATTTGGGTTCCTGCAGTGTGGGCAAGGCTATCCCAGGGTCACCGCTTGCCTAGGGCACTGCCCAAAGGCAGCGGGCATCCCTGCACCACTGCAGAACATCAGCACTGATGCCCCCATCAGCCAGCGCAGGTTCACCCTCAACCCGTGTGCCCTTTGCCCTCGTTTCCAGTGGGCAGCAGGACAGCCTCAGTCCTAGACCCTGAAAACACCCTCGGGGGCTCAGGCCAAGGCTGAAAGGATGGATGCCCCGATCCAGCCCCGCCCCCAACAAGCTCACACGTGCGCCCTCACCACCCTGGGCTCCATCCCTCCCGCTTGCTGCTCCGGACACCAGCAGAACATCTCAACAGCACGCACTCAGTACCTCCCGGTGCCTTTCTCTTCTTTTTCTTTTTAATTTTTTGTTTTTGGCTCAGAATGGGCCACGTGATCTCTTGGCATTGTGGCTTGTGCTGTGCTGTTCTGTGAACAAGTGTGCATCGTGATTCTTTGTAAGTTTGCAGAGACATAGCGTGTCACACCATCTTAAGAGCTTAGTAGGGGTTTGTTACTGTCATCATTTAAATTTAAGCCTATCTTCTACCTGTAGGAATAACGGAGGAAGAGCGACAGTTTCTGGCCCCTCCAATGCTGAAGTTCACCAGAAGCCTGTCCATGCCGGACACCTCCGAGGACATCCCGCCCCCACCGCAGTCAGTGCCCCCCTCTCCGCCACCACCCTCCCCCACCACCTACAACTGCCCAAAGTCCCCAACCCCAAGAGTCTACGGGACAATCAAGCCTGCGTTCACACAGAACTCCGCCACCAAGGTGTCCCCGGCGGCCCGCTCCGACACGGTGGCCGCCGTGGTGCGGGAGAAGGGGCTGCACTACCGGAGGGAGCTGGACCGCTACTCCCTGGACTCTGAGGACCTCTACAGCCGCAATGCCGCCGCCCAGGCCAACTTCCGCGGCAAGAGGGGCCAGATGCCCGAAAACCCGTACTCCGAGGTGGGGAAGATCGCCAGCAAAGCGGTCTACGTCCCCGCCAAGCCAGCCAGGCGGAAGGGCGTGCTGGTGAAGCAGTCCAACGTGGAGGACAGCCCCGAGAAGACTTGCTCCATCCCCATCCCCACCATCATCGTCAAGGAGCCTTCCACCAGCAGCAGCGGCAAGAGCAGCCAGGGCAGCAGCATGGAGATCGACCCCCAGGCCTCCGAGCCGCCCGGCCAGCTGCGGCCCGACGACAGCCTGACCGTCAGCAGCCCCTTCGCTGCCGCCATCGCTGGGGCCGTCCGCGACCGGGAGAAGCGGCTGGAGGCCAGGAGGAACTCGCCCGCCTTCCTGTCCACAGACCTGGGGGACGAGGACGTGGGTCTGGGGCCGCCCGCCCCCCGGGCGCGGCCCTCCAAATTCCCCGAGGAGGGTGGGTTTGGTGAGGAGGATGGCACGGAGCAGCTGCCGTCACCCACGCCAGGGGCAGCGCCCAGGGAGCCCGAGAACCACTTTGCGGGCAGTGGCGAGGTCGGAGCTCAGGGTGAGGCCAGCAGGCCACTCAATTCTACATCCAAAGCCAAGGGGCCCGAGAGCAGCCCTGTGGTGCCCCCCAAGAGCAGCCCGGCGGCCGGCCCCGAGAATTACGTCCACCCGCTCACAGGGAGGCTGCTAGACCCCAGCTCCCCACTGGCCCTGGCGCTCTCTGCGAGGGACCGAGCCATGAAGGAGTCTCAGCAGGGTCCCAAGGGGGAGGCCCCCAAGGCCGACCTCAACAAACCTCTCTACATCGATACCAAAATGCGGCCCAGCACAGACACAGGCTTCCCTGCGGTCACCAGGCAGAACACGCGGGGGCCCCTGAGGCGGCAGGAGACAGAAAACAAGTATGAGAGCGAGCTGGGCCGGGAGCGGCGGGATGACAAGAAAAGCCTGCTCATCAGCGTCATGGACGCGGCCCAGCACAAGGCGGCCGGGCTGCTGATGGTCCACACTGTGGATGCAGCCCAGCCAGACGACTTCCTGGAGGAAGAGGACGAGAAAGCTGACGTGGAGACGAAGCCAGACAACTCGCCGCTCGAGGTGCCAGAAGGTGTTCCCGAAACCGAAGGTGCTTTACCAATCCCCGCTGGCCCCGAGCCCGCAGCCGCCGCAGCCGGCAGGACCATCGTGGCGGCGGGCTCCGTGGAGGAGGCGGTGATCCTGCCGTTCCGCATCCCTCCCCCACCTCTGGCATCCGTGGATCTGGATGAGGATTTTATTTTTACAGAGCCATTGCCTCCTCCCCTGGAATTTGCAAATAGTTTTGATATCCCCGATGACCGCGTTGCTTCTGTCCCTGCTCTCACAGATGCGGTCAAGCAGAAAAAAAACGATGCCTCCCAGCCCCCTTCGTTGAACTCCAGCCAGCCAACCAACTCTGCAGACAGCAAGAAGCCGGCCAGTCTTTCAAACTGTCTGCCCGCCTCATTCCTGCCACCCCCCGAAAGCTTTGACACCGTCACGGACTCTGGGATCGAGGAGGTGGACAGCCGGAGCAGCAGCGACCACCACCTCGAGACGACCAGCACCATCTCCACGGTGTCCAGCATTTCCACCCTGTCCTCTGAAGGCGGGGAGAACGTGGATACCTGTACAGTCTATGCAGACGGGCAAGCATTTCTGGTTGACAAACCCCCAGTACCTCCTAAGCCAAAAATGAAGCCCATAATCCACAAAGGCAACGCACTTTATCATGACGCGCTGCTGGAGGAGGACGTGGACAGCTTCGTGATCCCCCCGCCAGCACCCCCGCCGCCGCCCGGCGGGGCCCAGCCCGGGGCCACCAAGCTTATCCAGCCAAGGACCTCCAGGCTGTGGGGGGACGTCTCGGAGGTCAAAAGCCCGATTCTCTCAGGCCCGAAGGCAAACGTGATTAGTGAGTTGAACTCAATCCTGCAGCAAATGAACCGAGAGAAATCGGCAAAGCCGGGGGAAGGACTGGACTCGCCGACGGGAGCCAAGCCAGCCAGCCTCACTCCAAGGTAAGTGCCGCGGGCGGCATGCGCACCGCCCTAGGCCGGGCTCTCCTCGGTCTTGTCCAGCACTGGCCAGGAAGCGCCCTTGGGAGCACCCGAAGTGGACAGAGGGGAGACCCGGAGCCTCGCGCTGACCGCCCGTGTCATGCAATAACCTGTTCCTTTTCTCGCTCCCTGGACTCTGGCGTCTGGCCTGGCAGGACGTGGATCTCCCACGACGTGGCCACACGGGCCATCGCACCTTAGCTTCCAAAGAGGAGCCCTGCTCTCTCCTCCTGAGTCCTCCTGGTCTTTGCCAGGACCCCTCAAAGGCCATTCTGCGGCCTCGTAGAAGCCGAAACCCAGCCCCGCTCAGCAGCTGGGGGAGGTGGGGCAGTGTGTCATCACCTTTGCGGGCTGGCTTCCCCCTCCCCGCCGCCTCCGTCACTAACTGGTGCGGGGCTGGGGAGGGGCCGGGCTGCAGACCCACTAGGGAGCGCAGCGTGAAAAAGCCTCCCCCTGGAGCTCATCCCATCCATGCCACCACCCACCACGTCAGCAGAGTGTAAGGCACTGCCCTGGAACCAGGGGTCACACATGGGGGCTATTCCTAAACCCAGTCCGAGGGCTCTACTGAGGCCCTGGCCAGCTGCCAGGAGCCGGTGGATGAGCTGGCCACTGCTCACAGGTCTTGTCTTTCTTGGCCAGAGATACCTCTGGTCCCCAGAAGGCAACGCGCTTCCGTTTCTCCCACTGATGTTCGGTCTCAGGTTCGTCATTTCAACTAATGAAGTCAGTCTTCATACTCCTGCCAGTCAGGCATCTGATTCAAGCATCTGAGTCCATTAATCAGCAATATCACACCACAGCTGGGTCCTGAGATGCAGGCTAAGAGCCACAATTTTCCCAGTTACCTTTCGGCTCAAGTGTAAATAGTTACGTGCGGCCCCCGCCACCTCTTGACAGGCCAGCCTCGCAGGCTGCCACCACCACGGTTACATTCAGAGAGTATTCGAGCTGAGGGGCCTTCTTGACAAAGTCCTCGTTTCCGGTGGCTGTTCGTACACAAATGCCTACAAATCTCCCACATACTCGGAAGTCTCAAAGACGACTTAAAAACCAGCTAGTTTTGCCCTTTCTCGTCAGGTAACAGTACGGGCCTTTAGTTGCCAGGTTACGTCAAAGCACGACAATCAACATGCCTCACTGCAGCGTGTTACACTGTACAAAACACTTGGACGTGGGTGAATAACAGCTGCTGGGGAGCAGGTATTACACCCGTTTTTCAGAAGGAGAAACGGAGACTCAGAGAGGCCAAGTGGCTCGTCCCTGTGCACAGCCAGGGGGAGGTGGAGCCAGGACTGGGCCAGGCTTCCTGGCTGGCCCTTCCTCTCCTCAGCAGTGTCTGAAGCACAGAAGATGCAGGAGGGGGGTCATCCTAGGGCTGATCAGGCCAGTGGGGCAGCCTGCACAGCACCCGGCTCCCCAGGGCCTCTCTGAGCAGAGTCCGGATTGCTGGCCAGCCCTGCTCCTTCCCTGGCCAGGCGAGCCCCTTGGAGCTGCAGATGTCTCCAGGGCTTCCCTGTCCTGCGTGTCCCTGGGTGGGAGGGGCCTCAGAGCAGACGGCCCAGGCAGAATCCCACTGGGTTTGAGGGCAGCTGCAGGACCGCCTCTGTGCGACCCACGCTCAGGCCAGGAACAGCCCCTCCAGCCTGTGGTTTACAGCCCAGTCCACGTATGGTTGGTGCATCAGGTGACATCTGTTAGACTCTAAGCAAATGCTGGGCACCAGGCGGCGTGGGTACACCGAGGCAGGGCCTGAACCTGCTCCCACGGTGCCCCGAGCAAAGCGGAGGTCAGGGAGGTGGAGGGCTCAGCCTCAGTACCCGGCTGGGTGGCACAGAAGCCGCCCGCCAACCCCGGGAGCTCTCTAGGGCTTGACTCCTCCCCTCTCGCTGGAGCCAGTGAGCAGCCTGGAAGGAATAGGCAGCTGCTTGACTTACTCGTCTGTAGGGCCGAGCTCCCCAAGGGCAGGGCTGTTCTCAGGCTTTCAGAACTCCCTAAGCCCAGCTGAGTGCCCAGGGTCCTATCCACTGACTGATGATACACAGGAGCAGTTACCACCCAGGGGCAGAGCCCTGAGTGGACCTGAGCTGGAGCCACGAGGCACAGCCCCCAGGGTGAGTGAGGGTGACAGCTCCTGGGCAGAGGACCCCGAAGGTGCCACCGAGCCCTGAGTACCGTGTCTGTCTCCTCTCAGATACAGCCCTGGCACAGGCCTCTGCTTTGCTGGGTCGGGCCTTCACTGAGAGGCCCGGGTACTTAGCCTTTCAGGGACCAGACAAAGCCAGGATGCTCTCAGCCAGGGCACCCCTGCCAGGGTGTCTCATCGAGACTTTTAAGCACATCTAAAAATTAAGAGCTGTGAACGGCCCTGGGCAGAATGAGGCACGAAACTGGATGAGGGAGTTCCTCGTGAGGGAAAAGGAGCGAGTTTTCTAGGGAAAATTAAAACCAACTGTGCTCTTTGAGTTGGCAGACAAGGTGCAAAGGTCTCAATTCCGGAGAAACAAGTCTGACGGCGTGAGACACGGCCAGTCCCTCGGGCTGCCCCGCAGCCGCCTGCCCACAGCAAGGGCGGGCGCCTTGGGGGCCGGCCCCCTCTAAGGTGCTCTCACCCTCGGGCTCTTTCTTAACTCTGGGGGACTGGGCGCGGGGCAGGGGCAGGGCCAGGGCAGGAAGAGAGGACCGAGCAACGAGGCCCCTCCTTGGGTGCGCTGGCTCTCACCTGGGTCGCGGACGAGTTCCTGCTGCTAGCGCAGGTTCCCCGAAATCAGGGGTGACCTGGGCTCTGGCAGTGTCCTGATTACAAGTATTTAGGCAAAGAAGAGAGGATCAGTTCATGTCCTTTAGGACGCAGCAGTAGAGCATCTCCTCTGGCCTCAGCTGAGAACAGCCACTAAGCACAGCGCCGGCAGGCAGTTCTGGGGAAAGTGCTCCCTTGGCCTCGGGGCCTGGTTTTCCCAGGAAGTACCTCATCTTTGAAGAGTGTCCAACAAGATCAAAGCGCAGTGTGGTTTCAGGGCTGGAGTGAGTCGGCTGGTTCTCCTACTCAGCACCACCCCAAAGCTGACCACGGGCCCCCATGCTCAGCACCGTGGGTCCCAGAGCCCTGCAGGCCCACCCTTCCATTCCCTGTGGAGCTCAGAGCTCAAGAGGATGATGGCAGGTGGTGGCGACCAGCTCAGCCTCACGTCTGAGCAGGCCCTCGGCACCACCCCCAGCCCCGCTCAGAGCCCCTTGGAGGCGCTGGGCACGAGGAGACCCCTCACTTTGGGCATGTGTCGTTTCCCTTAGAGCCACAGGGCCAGGGGCAGGCACCCCAGGTGCACAGCTGGGAAGCCAACTGGATGCTCAGCCCCAGGCCTCCTGAGTCCGCGGGTCAGGGAGGCTCTTCGTAGGAAGACGGTGCCAGGCCCAAGCGAGGACGGTAACAGAAGGGGCTCACTGCTGAGGAGGCCTGGGCCTTTGGAAGCTGGGCAGTAGGTTTAGGTATTAACCATTCCCTTGACCGGTAGTTACCGATGGCGTCTTGGGTGCCAGGCCCCGTGCTGGGCCCAGGATGTACCATTGAACAAGAAAACAGTCAACGTCTCTCCCCCAGTGAAACACTACACCTCAAGGAGGAAGGGGGAAGAAATAACAAGCAAGACAACCCCCAAATGCGCCGAGCACTGCACAGGGATGAGGATGTGCTGACACCAGTGGCTGTGGGCAGGAAGGAGACGACTGTTCTTAAGAAAGGGACAGCTAAGCGACCTGAAACCCAAACAGGAGCCAGCTGTGCAAAGCCCAGGACCAGGCACCCAGGCACGGGGGCCAGCAAGCACACAGCCCAAAGCCAGGAAGTACTCTCCGTGCGGAAGCAACTGGCCAGGCGGGGAGGGGGTGGGGAGCTGGTGGGCCAGGTCCCGCAGGGCCTTGCGTGAAGAGGGGAGAACTGGGTGGTGTCCGAGTGGCGGCAGCCACCGAGGGCGTAAACAAAGGCTTGGTGTAAACTGATTTTCGTTTGATGAAGCTGGCCCCGCAGCTACTGGGTCAGGCGGGTCCCAGGGACACCGGGAGCCTGTGCACAGACTGCTGAGGGGTCCGGGGGCCTCTGCTCTGCAGACAGCAGGTGGGTGTTGACTGACACACACGCTTTGACCCAAAACAGAGGGGCCTGACCCACAGAACGCAGCATTGTTTTTTAAACCAAGATAATTCTGTTCTTTGTCAGCACTTCCACACAAGCAGTCAGTCTGGCTTTCCCCCTCGGGCTGCTGGGAGGCTCAAAGCAGTGAACAGTTGCCTGGGGAGGGGGGCCTCCGGCTTCCGCCCAGGGGGTGCGGCCTCGGCTCCATCCCCCAGAGTCCCTCCAGGTCCCCTCGCACTTTTCATTGGTCCAGAGGAATCCAAGACTGGCCTTCACCTCTCGGAGGCCCCAGTGGAGCCCCAGGTCCCCTGAGGGGCTTAGACCGCCTGTGGGGGAGCACGGGCCACTTCTTGGGGGTCACCCTCAAGCCCCCCCACAGCCATCGCACCCGGGGGCTCGCAGCACCTGCCGTCGCCGGCCGGTGCCTCCTCCCTGGCTCGCTGCAGCTTAGCCTGAGAGCCTCTTGGTTTTAAAATAAATTAATTCACGTTGTTAAAAAATTATCCCTGCCCAGACGACCCCAGAGCCTCCCAGACGTCAAACCCGACTAGATAACAGAAGCGGCTTAATGGCGTGTGCGCACCCTCTGTGCGTCATGGAGGTTTTACCACTTCACGGCAGCAACTGACACGTTAAGGTGACGTCTGCGACTGAGGCTGTGGGTGAGGTGCGTGCGAGCGAGGGGTCCGTGTCTCTGCTCATACACGGTGTTTGAGGGGCTGTTCTCGTCCAGCTGCAGCATTTCATCCTCGACATCAGAGCCGTTTTCAAGTCCGAGTCTTATATTCGTGCCATTCGGCCTTAGTGTACCGGGGGTGAATCCCTCCCCTTGAACACTGGGTGCCTTCTTAGTCTGCTAAGACCTGACCTCCTGCAGGAAGCCTTTCCCGACAGAGGGACTACCGGCTCTGCTCCAACAGCTCGGCCGAGTCCTGGAACTTCCAATCTGGGAAACGAGCTTCGTAATATGCATCCCCGTTCACGCCAACAGTCCCTGAGCCAACCCCTGCTGCGGGCCAGGCCTGGGGACCACGGACATATGGCTCTCGCAGTGCTCACGGCTGGGGCACTGCTGCTGCCCCCCGCGCCAGCGCTCGGGCCGCGGGCCACCTTCCCTGTCTCTTCACAGCCCCACCTGCGGCACCACCATTCAGACAGAACAACTCCACAGGAGGGCAGCTGGAGAAAGGCGCTATCTGATAGGTGACAGCCCCCAGCAGGTCAAGTGCAGAGGTTGCCGGGGCGTGTGCTGGAGGTTCAGAACCCCAGCGCCAGCGCCAGAGGCCAGGGGAACACGCCCCACTGTCACCACCAAGCAGCCCCCGTCCACAGTCAGTTATTGTTTGAGAGCCGAACTTGTCAACATGATGAAAAGCTACTCAAATACTGACTTCCCCCACCCCAGTGAACCTGTGCTGACTGACAAAAAACTGCATCTCAATGTGGCATTAACTCTCCACTTTTATTTTAATGCTCATGTTTCCATGTGGATTTGCTTTAAAAGGCAGGAGAGAGAGAAATCCAAGAGAGGGCATGTGTGCACGTCTGTGCTCAGCCAGGGCCTCGGAACTCTGCGCACTCCAGCCGGGAACCCAGGGGTTGCTTAGCAACATAATGATCCCTGCAAGCAGGAGATCCAACGAGTAAGATGAGTGTGACAGAGTAAATCCAGCTACGGAGGGCAGGCCGGGCCAGCCCTGGCAGGCCTTCGCCCGCTGCTCAGACGCTCTGGTTATTTCCTCCAGAGTGGCCTTCAGCAGGGCCGCGGGCAGGCCCCGCACACACAGCCAGCTCTGACGCCCCCGTTGTTAGCTGCCCAGCTCTCATCTTTCAGTGTAGACATGAAGCAAAGCACACGTGTCGGCGGGCCGGCCTTCCCCCACCAGGAAGGCTGCTGCATCCTCTCTGCGCTGTGGCGACAGGGGACAGCTCAGGAGCCAGGCTGGGGCCTGACCGAGGGGCCGTCCTTGGGGGCTCCCAGCAGAGGCCATTATTCCCATGTTGCTGTCTTCTCCTCCTTCACGTTCTTCTGGATCTTCTGTACACTCACATGACCCCACGCCAAAGAAGGCAGGGCTGTGAACTTTCTGTTCCAGGCCGTGCTGAGGGCTGCCCACTCTGCCTGCGCCCCGGCCAGAAGGGCCCAGCAGGGACAGGTCCTCAGCTGGAGCCTGTGCCACTGCTTCCACTTCATCCACCAAAAGGAGCTTCTTGTTTAATTTTAATTATGTTGCAGTATTGTCTCAACCCATTCGCTTTTGCCATTTCCACTTGCTCCCATGACGGGTGTCAGCAGAAGGGGGCCGTGCTGAACAGGAGTAAGCGCCACTGGAGGAAGCCTGTGGGCGGGTGTGCTCCTCTGCCCCTGCTCCCTGCCCGCTGGCGGGCAGGGAGCCTTCTCTTGCTTCTGACGAGTGCAGCTGCCTACAGAGCCTCCCTTTAAAAACAATCCCAATGGCCTGGGTACCACAGGGGTTCTACTTCCAAAGGGAGGGCGGTGCTGACCCGGCCCCCGGCTCAGAGACGCCCACTGTTAAACGCTGCCCAGGTTTAAAGCAGTTGCCATCATCTTGGGGGACTAACTCACCTCCAATCACATAGCCCGACGAACAACAAGGTCACTTCCCCACTGCACTGCCAGGGAGGGTGGGCCTGGAGCTGGGGTCACAGGCACGGCACCACGCAAGGGCGCCTTGGAGAAAGCACATCTAAACTCCCACCCTGGGCACCACTCCCTTGAGCAGATGTGCCCCTGTAAGATGTTCACCCTCCTCCCAAAAGCCTTCTCTCTTCCCGGAACGTCCTAATGAACACCTCAGATCACTTCCTCGTGGCCTGACGCCACTATCTTAGCCTGCCTGTTGCATCAGGTGGCCTGACGGCGAGACTCCAGTGGGGGCAGGCACAGAGGGGGACAGGCAGCCCGAGGATGCTCACAGCATGCCCTGCAAGCTGTAGCCGCTGCCCAGGCTGGAACCAGAGTGATCTCCTGGGCCCACTGGAGCACCAGAACTCGCGGGTTTCTCCTTGGAGACTCGCCATGTCCACGGCCAAGCTCCCTCTCACGAGCCTGTCTAGGGTCCTGGGAGCAGAAGGGTGCCTCCCTCTCCCCTGTGTGTGAAGCCCTGGAGCCCAGGGAGACTCCTGTTTCTTGATTTTGAGTAATGAGCCTGGGAGTAGTGGAGGGTCATCCTCAGAGTCTCACCTGGGCTGCCTTTACCTATTGGTGTGTCCAGCACACCAGTTCAACCAGTAACCAATGCCCCTGGAGGTTCTTGACAGGAGTCTCCTGCATGTAACATGTCCCGCCCGGCAACAACTGGCCCTCCAGGAAAGTGCATGTGAGCTCCCTGTGGGCGAGTGGGTGTCCCCGCCATGTGCACCCCCCTGTCCCACCCCCTGAAAGGCATCCCCTTAGGACGAGACCAAAGCCTGAGTCCAGCACGGGCCCCTCAGACCTGCTGCTGCTTCCTCACGTGGGAGGGTCCAGACTCGGAGCAGCAACTGCCGTCAAGTGGGGGAGCGTCACAAGGCTGAGGGGCCTCTCGGTACGCAACTGGTGCCTTTACCCAAATGCACGCCAGCGGCAGAGAGGACAAACAGCAGCAAAAGACCAGGCAGCCCAGTGTGTGGGTGGGCCGGGCCGGGCCCCAGCTCACTTCCCACAGTTGAGGAAGCCTCTCCCCTCTCCTGGACGCTTAGACCCCACAGCCATCCACCTCCCTGCCGGCCGTAACAGCAGCTGCTGCACAGCCTCCGTGCTCACCAGGGCACGTCCACCTGGCTGTCTCGCCTCTTAGAAGGGAGAGGAGCCCCCCCCCTTACATATGGAGACTCCTAGGCTAGGGATGTGCACACGCTGGTACCAGCAGGGCCTGGGCTCAGGCGGACACCCCAGGCCCAGACCCTGGGGGGGACCCATAATAGGACAGGTGCCTCCAGAATGGGGCAGGTGGTCTGCCTGTATTCACACAAACAAGCCCAGAAAGCAGGGGACACACACATACTCTGCCACCTCCTCGGTGGCTGTGGTTTCCCCGGGGCAGTGGGACAGACATGCCCTTAGTTTAGGGACAGCAGCAAAGAGCAAGAACCAGGCCCAAAGGAGTGGACGTCTTTCTCCAGATGTGGCTGGAAAGCCTGCTGTGGGCCTCGGCCACAACCAGGGGGGGCACTGTCAGTGGAAAGACCCTCTCCCAGTAGGTGAGCAAGAACCTCCCCTCCACCCCCAGTGCCGGGACCCGGGGCTGCACTCACCTGGCCAGAGCAGGGAGGGCACCCCTGGGAGAAGGGAACTCCTTTCAGATTTCTGCTCTTTGGTGAGGACCACGTGCCCTATCAGTGAGCCTCGCACGCTGCCTTCACATGGAGCGAATGAAAATTCGGAGGCGCACCCACTTCGTTCTCCAACAAGACAGCCCCTCAGTGCCACTGTGAGGCATGCCCTTCTGCTGGGCGGGACTCGTGCAGAAGCAACTCTGGCAAATGACCGCTGGTTCTCTGGCTTTGTGGACAATTTCTTCAAACACCGAGCATCCCTGGGTAGCTGCGGGGTTTCCCACTTACTGACACAGGGCCAGCCGGTAAGCTGCCCTTCCCTGCACTCGTCCTCTTAAGCCAACAAGACAAAGGCCTGATGGCAGCTAAGAGGGAGGGTGTCTCCTCGGGTGCCCGTCCCTCGACTTGCTGAAACAGGCAAAGCTGTCCCTTCTCCCAGTGGTCCTGGTGATGTCACAGATACGCCCCCGCCCAGGAGCAAGACATAGTTTCGGCCATGTCTCCCTAGCATCCTTGCCCCCCTCACCATGTACCCGAGCGCGCGCACACACACGCGGTACAGGCGCGTTCCCTGACCCTGCCGGGCTCAGGTGAGTGGCTGCCAGGTGTGATCTGGTGCCTCCCCAGAACTCTGCCTCCCGCTCCTCTCCTTCCGACCAGCCCTGGCATGGCAAAGCACCTGCTCACGGCCAGCACACTGGCCGTGAGCCGCTCTGCTGTGGTCTGGGTGTGCCCGCCCCTCCTTGGCCACCTGCATCCTGCTCGTCCGCTCAGTGGCCAGGCCTCTGATGGTTTTCTCTGTTGTTGCCGTTTCAGAGGCCCAGAGGTCACGGGCACCGTCTCAGGTACCCGGAGCACGACGGTCACCTTCACCGTCCGCCCCGGTACCTCCCAGCCCATCACCCTGCAGAGCCGGCCCCCGGACTACGAGAGCAGGACCTCAGGACCCAGACGTGCCCCAAGCCCAGTGGTCTCGCCCACAGAGCTGAACAAAGAGATCCTGCCCGCCCCACTGTCCGCGGCCGCAGCCTCTCCCAGCCTCTCCGAGGTCTTTGGCCTTCCCAGCCAGCCCGCTCCCGGGGACCTGTTTGGCCTAAACCCGGTGGGACGCAGCAGGTCGCCGTCTCCCTCCATCTTGCAACAGCCAGTCTCAAATAAGCCTTTTACAACTAAGCCTGTGCACCTGTGGACCAAACCAGACGTGGCCGACTGGCTGGAAAGTCTAAACTTGGGTGAACATAAAGAGGCCTTCATGGACAACGAGATTGACGGCAGCCACCTCCCAAACCTTCAGAAAGAAGACCTAATAGACCTGGGCGTGACACGCGTCGGCCACAGAATGAACATAGAAAGGGCTCTGAAGCAGCTGCTGGACAGATAAGGGCGGCTGCTCTTCTCCCCACAGACTCCCTGTTATAACTAGAGATGGGCTGACACCGAGACATTTGGACGGCGAGCGCCAACCCGTCCACGGGTCTGTTTCCTGGTCCCCAGAGAAATGCCATGTGTGTCCGTGGTGTGGCTAAGCCGAGGCCTTCAACTCCCAGCTCTCCGGGTGGGCTCTTTGGGCTGTTTCTGTCAAAGAGGGGACAAGGGACGGGGTCCCTGATCGTGGAAGGAGGCTCGCAGCTCGCCTCCCAACATGCGGGTCCTGGAGACCCCAGCAGACACAGCTCAGTCCGCGCTCTGCAGGCAGACACCACCGCACTAACCCTAATCTGTCGAGATACCTCCCGGGGCCTCCCTCTGCCGCCACCGGCTCGCCCACCCAGCCCGGCGGCACACAGCCTCCCCGCCATCCAGAGCCTCTTGGGGGCGCGCAGGGCACACGGGCTCTTTCCGTCCTGCGCGCGGCTCCGCTTGCAGCCAGACGCCCGCAGACACGCTTACCGGTGCCCCTTCTTGAGCCTGGAAGGCAGAGGAACTTTCTTTCCTCCGGATCCTCCCCCGCCGCCTCCTGCGACGTGCGCCCACGGTGCTGCGGCCCGGAGGCTCTTGGCAGTGGTGGGGGCTGGAATGGGATCGTGCCAGCTTTGCTTAGCTTGCTTTCTTTATTTCTGCAAACCTATTAGCATAATTCCAAAGTGGCCAAACAGATGTCACCTGGAGTTAGTCAAAGCACAAAGTCACGATTCCCAGGAGGGGAGACCCGGCCGTGGGATCCAGCCAGTGGGCAGCTGCCTGGGTCCAAAATCTCCTCAAGGGAAAGGTGGCTGTCTGCCAGGAGCGTCCATCCAGGAGCATGAGAAGGGGGTTCTGCCTTTCAGAATTTTTTAAATTGAAAGTGTGTTGAATTCTGCAGAGAGTAGAGCATCCGCTCTGACACGCAGGACAAGACGCAAGGCTAACGGCGGGCGCGGCGGCGGGGGAGGTGGGTGGGGCGCGGCGCCCGTGGCCTGAACCCGGCCGGGGCAAGCATCTCTGCTGAGACAGCCCTTTGTCCTCGGAGGCCAGGGAAGATGGCACCTGGGGGCTTTTTCCCTCTCCCTCTGAGCGTCCAGGAATCCCACCAGTTTGTCTTAATAGTGCAACAAGCTTTTTGAAAACCCAGTGGGTCTGGCGTGTAGACAGAACCCGGGGCTCAGAACAGAAGGGGCTGCAGGGAGAGGGTGCGAAGCACGCACAGACAGCAAAGAGCAGGGAGGTCTCCCGCCCTGCCAGTCCTGCCTCTCTGGCCAGGCTTTCTTGAGCCCTGCCCCACTGTCTCCCCCGCAGCCCCTTCCCTGTAACAATACCTCTGATTCCCAAGGGAGGCCACCAACCGCGCACGGGCCACAGAGCACGCAGCCAGGCATCCAGCACCTTCTCCTGCGTCCGGAAGCAACTCGAGTGTCAGGCTTTTGGCTTTTATTATGATTTCAGAACTAGCCTAGCCCATCTCTAATTATAAAAACATGATTTTTTTCTTTTTTTCTTTATGCTCAGAATCAAGTGTCTGATTAGGTCTGGAACAGCTCTAGAATGAACATGTAAAATTTAGCAATTCAACCCTTTCTTTACTGCAAGTTTAAATAGTTGTACAGATAGTTTATAAGCACAATATTTTAAGAAAAAAAAAAGTGGCTGGTCTACCAGGCAGCCTTTGTGCCACTTCAGTGCTAGAAAGTTAAAGAAAAAAAACTTTTGTGATTTAATAATACTATTTCTGTGGAATAATTATAAAAGTATGACCTTTTTAAATCAACCTTATTTGGATGCATCTGAACCAGCAGAGCTGTGTTATATTTTCTATCTTTGCTAGAACTTCGTCATCAAAGGACAATTATTTCTTCAAAAATGGTTGTAATTCACAATGCAGCAGTTTCTCCAAAAACAAAGACACTCACCCCATACACACAGTTTTTCCAGCCACTCGCCCTGAATTGGAAACCGAGTTTTGGACCTTCTGTTCCAAAACCCTTTGCAGGTCACTCTTTGTATCTCAACGACCCTTTCCAACCTGAAATCAGCATAACACGAAGGCGCTTACTTCTTTGTACTTTCAGTTTTCCATTGTGAGATGAACGAACATCACCCTCGAGAAATTTCAAGCCAAGATGCTACAGGTGGCCTGTCAAGGCCACCCAATCTTCCAGAAAATGTAAAAATGGTGATCTGGCCAGTATTTGTCTTCCATCTGGTGATGTTGCCAAGTCCAAGTCCGCCACTTCACCACAGCCCCTCCCCTGTGCCCGCTGTTGGGGTTACCCCTCCGCTCAGTGCCAGGCAAAACGCTAGACAGGCTGACAGGAAAGGAAGCCGTGGGTAGACCGTAGCCAGTGGCAACTCGGCGGCGTTAGGGTTACTGCACTTTGGTGGCCGAAAGGTGAGAGCCGGTCCTTAGAGACTTCGAGGCGCATGAACTGAGCAGAAGCGAGCAGGCTGAAAGTCGAAAGAGCTGACGACATGGTCTATTTTCACACCACCTTACTACAGAAAAGGCGCAGGACCTATCAGAACCTGCACTGACCACAAAATAAACACGTTGCCAAAATGAATCGGGCTCTAGCTCCATTTGATGGTTTTGCCACCGGAAGCAATAGTTCCTCCTTCAGGTCCCCGCCCACTGCCCTCCCCCGTGGGACACGCCAGGACCAGGCCCTCCTCCACGACCCTCTTTACTGGTGAAACAGATGTTAGACTGCTCAAATAAAGATCATGTTAATACTATCCCAGGTTTTAAAAAGATCAGCTTTTTTTGTTATATACTGTAATTTAAATAAATTGCATTTACACGCCTAGTTTCTGTAATATTGTGTATACAAAATCAAAACCTCTCAAGATGTAAATTATGTCCACCTGCCAAGATACCTTCTCCAGGGTGTCTGTGCGCATTTTAAGTTAATTCATATAATATAAAAATGACTCAATGTGACTGTTGATTTGCTGAACCTTACATATCACAAGTGAATTATTTGTGGTACTTTAGTTAATAAAATGGTGGGTTTTTTCCTGAGTTACTGAACAAGCAAGCATCACCCAGGGTGACCTGGCTATGACTTTTTGTGTGTGGGGGGCCACAAATATTGATTTTTCCCGTTAACAAATTTTTCATTTGTTTTTTAGAAGCTACTGTTTCACACTATAGTTTGTGTAACATGTGTTCACATTATCTACGTTTCTGTTACTTTTGTGCTTTTATTCTTTTTAGACCTCATTAAAAACAGAAAGAAAAAACAAGCTCCTGTAATTTGCACTTTCTCCCAACCCTCAATCTCTTGTATGGCAACCAAAATTACCGTAAAAAAATAAATATACTATTGCACTACGGTGGTGGTTCTGATTGCAAACAGTGAGAACTGTCTGAATTAAACAGAGTGGCCAAGCTCACAGGGCCACATAGGTTACCTGAACATCACAGCCACTCAAGCAGATAACATCCTTCATCAAGGAGTGAAAATTCTCCTTGCACTGAGCTCATCCACCTTGGTTCCATTTCCTTACAGTTTCCTCAGTGACTAGATGGACACGTGTTGATCTCAGAACTGTGTAAAACGTCGCCACGGACGTCTGTGAACCCTGCGGGGAGGGGTGGCCGAGATCTGGCTGGCCTTCTGCGGGGTGGAAGCGGAGGAGGCATGGATGCTGAGCCCTGAGTGAGGGCCCCCCACGCCCACGCAACGCAGAGCCAACGCGTATGCGTGCTCTGAGGCCTGGGGCAAGAGAACGTGTCTCCTGGCAGAAAAATGTGCCAGGAAGACACGGGCTGCCCCTCCCAGGGTAGGGAAGCAGATTCTGACCTTAACTACTGAACCCCTCCTCTAGCCTCATCAGAGAACACTCGCCGTCCAGCTCCTGGACAGTCTCTGTTGTGGCGCGTCCTCCATCCAAACGGCAGCCACTGTATCTCATGTCCGTCAGAAGGTCCCATCCTCTGACCTGCTGTAGTTTATGCTCCCTGGAGCGCCCCCACTTCACATCCCTTGGTTTCTCCCAGACCGTACCCCCACCCCCTATCCACTGTCCAATGGTTTCTTCCAGACAAAGGTATCAGTTTGTCTTGTTAAGGAAAATACATACACTGGAGGGCTGTTTCTTTGACTTCTACTTGATCTGAGGCATTTTAATAACCAGTGAACTAGAACGTCTCTCTGTGTTTGTAGATCTGCACACGCGAGCAGGGGACGGTTCCCCGGTGGCGGGGTGAGCACGCTGGACCGCCCTGCTTGGTGGGGAATCGGGTCATTTCCAGACTTGTTTCTCAGACTTCAGCAGATTGATCCCTTCAATTTTGAATCCATGCTGTATCAGTGACTTTGTTTCTTTACTGTTGCTGTAACACATTTCCACATTTCAGTCTTTTACTGTTTTATGTTTAAAATTACAATCACTGTCCATTGCTTCTACTCTGGAACTCTTTGTTTATAACAATTCTGAAACTTCAATGTGAGCCTTCAAATAAATATAGAGATGAAAAAAAATGAAAACAAAATAAAGTGTGTGCCTTCAGTGTTCTGAATCTGACCTGCATAAAATCATGCTGTGCTCAAATGCTGTGTATTTAATGAGGGTAAATATACCTCCAATGTACAATGTAGCTGATGAAACAGTCCTAGTGCCTTAGTTTCTGAACTGAGAAGCCCTCTCAATGCACGAGAAGTCAAAGGTGACTCGAGGAATGAAATGTCAAGGAGCCCTGCAGCCTTTCTCACCGAGACTGGCGCATACATAGTCATTTCAGTTAAAAAATAAAAAGAAAATTGAAATAAGATTGTGTTATCAATTAATTTTCCATTCAAGATGCTCTCTAGTGTGTCACTTTCAGTATTTTCATTCAGTTAAAATACCAAACATGTCTGAGAATTTCAAAGAACAGAAGATGACATCTCGACCAAGAGGCTGGGGCTTCCAGGGCGCCTTCCCCTGCGCTGCGTCGCCCCCCAGTGGTTCTCGGCAGTAACGCTTGTCCAAGTCAGCAGTACCATCCTCTCCACGTTTTGTTAAAAATCAACCAAATGTTTGCTTTTAGTGACAGAGGCCACTCATCACAAAAGAATTATCCCCATTTCCCATGAGCTACAGGCATGGCGATCCACGGTCTGTCTGTTTCCAAGAGACAGACGACGTGAGAACACCAGTCTAACCCTCGTCTCCAGCCACCGCGCTCCATTTACCCAAAGCTAAATTCACGCTCCCCTGAGCAGCCCCTGTCACCTTGGAAGATGAGCCCGAGGTGTGCAAAGCGGGTCAGAAGCCGCTCTGCCTGGGACTGGAGTCATCTCAGCAGCAGCAAGCCTGCAGGACGGTGCGGTCCCGGCGGAGCCGCTGCCACCCGCCTTCTCAGGGCCCTGGGTGGGCAGGTGCCCCGGCTGCGTCCACTGGCACGTCCTGGGTTGGTCTGCGCGGTGAGCAAGCAGCCACACGCTGGGCCTGCTCACCGCACATGACCACCAGCAGGGCTGCCGTTTACCTGGCCAAGCCATTTGGATATGCAGACTTCTTCATTTCAGCTCATGCAGCCAACATCTGAGCGTCCAAAGTGGATGGTGCCGGAGAGACGGCCAGGTCTTTTAGGGGGTCCCATTCCACGTGCTGCTGCCGCCTCTACTGGAAATACGTACGTGTCCAGGAGTCAGAGGATGAGCCAGGGCACTGACCACAGCCGCTGGGCCAGACAGGCAGCTGAGCCCGGGGCCCTGTGTGACATGGGCCCAGGGAAACGGCTGGGCCAGTTTCAGTACAGCCAGGTGAGCAGGACCGAGCGTGGAGACAGCCAAGCACTCACCACGTATGGTGGCCTGCACACCTGTCCTGCCACCAACCTCGCAGTCCTCCTTGCCAAGGAACTTAAAAGGAATTAAAGATGTCCCTCAAACCCCAGAACCCAGAGAGCAGGAGAGCATGGTCCTTGAAGGTCCAGAAAAGTGCCTAGAGCACCAGGCAGAAATTACCTGTTTCTGTGCATGGTCCTGAGAGGTAGTCGAGGCTGGAAATAACTAAATATCTTCACGCCAGGCACCACTCAGAGCACCACACCCTGAGTATCTAACACAATGTGAGGTGGGGACAAACAGCCCCATTTTACAGATGAGGAGGCTAAGTCTTGCCAAGGTCCACAAGAGTGCAGAACCAGGCTCTGCTGTAGGGCTTCCGTTGCTAAGTCAACTTGTAGGAAAGAGAACCCGAGAAGGGCTGCTGGGGTCAGGGCCCATCACTGACAACAAGGACACCCCAGTCTGCTCCCCTCCAAATGCATCTGTACAGGGCCAGGGGTCCAAGAGGCTGGGCAAGTTGGCGGCTCCTCCCAGGTGAACCCTTTCAGGGCTGTGAAAAAGAGATTTAATTCAGAGGCAACCTGGCTACCTCACTTCCCCAACTAGAATCAGGGAGGCCTGGACCTCAGGATGCCGGGTTTTCTCAGAGCCAAGACGTGATACATGTAAAAGGACCCACAGCTTAGAGATGTGTGACACATGGCACCTGCCTTCATTCCCACAAGAACCCCATGAGGTAGTATCGCGAAGCTGAGGAACCCAAGGCACAGAGAAACCAGATACCACTGCCAGAGGTGAACAGACCGCCGGAAGACCTGAGTCCTCGCCAAGGGAGTGGCCCTCCCACTAGACTCTTCCTCCCCAGCCTAGGTGACCCCAACTCCTCCCAGCGCACTCCTCTGTGCCCTAGTCACCCAAAACACACTTCTGCTGCTTGCAACTGCCGATCCCAGGTGATGCAGTGCCTGACCCCAGTGCCAGTGTTTCTCCCACCCCGCAGCCTACAGCCAGGACCAGGGCAGCCCCTTCCCCTCCCTTCACCAGCACCTTCAGGGCAGACACAAAGGCCAGCCGAATGAAAGATGAGGTGAGGAGTCACACAGCTGCAGAATGAGTCTGAAAAGGAGGCTGACAGGCCCCCAAAGCTTTGAGCTCCACGTGACGCCAAAGGCTCGGAGCTGGGGGCCCTCCCTCAGCCTGGAGCCTGCCATCTGGGCAAGCTGAAAATAAAGGCTCCATTTCCCAGCAAGAGTGTATAAATGTAGCTTCGAAGGCCCTGATAGAGACATCGAGGCCCTGGGGAGAACCGCTCGGCCTGAGACCTCAGCGCCCCACGGGCTCCCAAGAGAACCCAGCCCTCCCTCTCCCACACAGGCACCAGCCACCAGCTTCCCTGGCAGCAGCCTGGAGAACGAAGTGGACAGAGCGATGGCTCTCTTCGGTGAGGGGAAGAGACCATAAAAAGAGAAGATCGGATGTCGCACAAAACGCACGCAGGCCACCGCGTATGCACAGCAGCAACACAGAAAGGGCCACGCAGGTCCCAGCTCGGCCATCGAGGCCGGCGCCCACCTGGCCCTGACCCCCCACCTCTCCAAGCATGTCCTCCTTGTTCACCTAGCTCCAGTCACCTTTTCCCCCTTGAGTTCTCCTTTGTACCTGCTGCTCCTGGCACCCCCATCTCTGCATGGCTTTCCTGCACCACCAGATGAGAGTAGAACCATCTCAGTCACACGCTCCCATCTCCCCAGTTCCCTTCTTCGTGGCATTTATTACTATTACTACCTCAAAGTGGCTTATTAATTTGCTTATTGATTACCTGCCACCCCTACCACCCCACACACACTTCTAGAAGGTAAGCCCCAGCAGGACCCGAGCTCCGCCTACCTCAGCACTGCTGTTTCCCTGGCACAGGCAATGTCTGCAGAGGCAGCCTATCCTTCTCCAAGAGGCCCCGGGTCGCCCCTCAACACTCAGCCCTCTGCAGCTGCAGCCACTCCAGCGCTGGAAGCTTCCATCTGGTCCCCAGAGACCTAGTAAGGACAGAGACTTCTCTAGTGCCTCGAGGGACCCGTCCCGAGCACTGCCTGCCTCTGCGCGGACCTTCCCTGTTCCCTGGCCTGGAAAGTTACTGGGACTCTCCCCTTGACTCACTCATTTACCTGCAGCTCTTGTCCTAACCACCTGCTGCAGGAGCACCCCTGCAAAACCAGGCACTTCCTCTATCTGGAGCTACATACCTATCAGGCCCTGCCCCAGTAGAGGCTGTCAGGGCAGAAATCAGAGCTATTCCCAGGTGCAGGGGGTGGGTCACCAGGTAGGGAGAGAGGCACTTCCCAAATCCCTCATCAGCGGCTACACAGTCGGCCCTGGGCAGATGCCTGGGCTCAGTCGCCTCCTGCCTCTCCCTTGCCCACCACGGACCTGCCACACGTGCTAGGCCGCACCAGGGACGGCCACCTCCGTTCCCGCAAGTGGAAAGCACCAGCACCACGGGGCCACCCGCGGGACTGCTGGGAGGACGGAGACCCCATTGGGCCGGGGCTGGGAGCGCAGTGATTCTCCCAGAACCGGGTGTTTGGGATAGTTACCTCGATTCCAGCTTCCGGAAACAGGCGTCCTTCCGCCCCGTGCTCGCCTGAGCGCGGCTCCGCGGA